GTATATTTTTAACTTTATACAACTTTTTTTTTTTAATCTTTTGTTGGTATTTTTATTTTATAATTAATCTTTTGGGGTTAATCTTTTGTTTAACCTTTTGGGGTGTTGTTTAAAAAAAAATTATAATTAATTTGTTATTGATAAAAAAATTATTATTTGTATTATGGTATCACATCAATTTATCCGGTTAAACAAAGATCGGTCAATTACTTATATTACATTTGTTTAAGTAGTTATTAGGTTATATGAAAAAATATAATTATTTTAAACACCTAAAATCATTAATGTTTTATGTAATTTTTTTTTAATAATATTTATTTTTTGTTAAATTCATAATTTTTTTTTATGAATTAAACTATGGTTTTTACTATTGTTCATATTTTTGTATTACTTGTTCTTCTAATTATTCGCTTTCAATGCTAATGCACAAGTTGATTACTAGTTAAATTTATTTCATGGGATGAAAGTACTGCATGTGTTCTTATATTTGTAAATTAGTTTGATAAATAATGATAAAATTAATTTAGGGTTATATTGTACTCATGTAACTCGTTTTTGTGTATAATAGTTTAATTTAATTATAATAAATAGTATATTCTTTTGAAAACAAAGAACCTAGGCAAATAATTCAAAGCAATATTGTTCTGCGGCACTCACCGGCGTCAAGAACACAAAAGCGGTCCCCCGGATTTCAAAGCCCAACTATACAGAATACAACCCTTCTCTTTTCTAATCCCACCGTCAACTCCGCCGCACGCCACCGACATGTCCTCTCATCTCACCCCTTCTTCTCCTCAGTCCACGACCACCACCCCTTCCCCGCGCCGCCCAATTACCGACGATGACAAACTCGCTCCGCCGTTAAAACCAGAGCACCCATCGGGCCCAACGCCGGCGACTAAGTCCGCGGCTTTCTCGGGCCGCGAGGACTGCTGGTCCGAGGAAGCAACTCGAACTCTGATTGATGCCTGGGGATCTCACTACCTTCAACTCAACCGGGGAAACCTCCGGCAGAATCACTGGCGGGAGGTGGCCGACGCCGTCAACAGGCTCCACGCTTCGTCCGTCAAGCTCCGGCGCACCGACGTCCAGTGCAAGAACCGGATCGACACCACGAAGAAGAAGTACAAGATCGAGAAGTCGAAGGTTGTCCAATCGAAGGGCCGGTACGTCTCCTCGTGGGCCCACTACGAAAGCCTCGACTCCCTCATCGGCGATTCCGTCTCCAGCAACAAAGGCATCAGCAGCGCCAACGGAAACACCAGAGCCCTTCGCCGGCGAGTTTCCTCGTCTCCGGAACCCTCGCCGTCCCCTACGCCTCCGCCATCGGAGCCGGAGATCCACCGCCGGAAGACTACTTCGGCTACTCATATCCCGGAGAAAGATCCGGCCATGAGCCCTTGGCTGAAGCTACCATATTCTGTGCCGGTGGGACCCAGATCAAAGCGTGCGGGGCCGGGAAGCATTACTGAGAGGAATTTCTCGGTGATGGCAGCAGCTGCGGCAGCAATGGAGGCTGAACAGGATGATGATGAGGAAGACAATGATGAGTATGACGATGAAACATGGGGCCGTTACCTGGAGACCAGAGGAAGGAAAAGGAAGAAGCCCGTGAAAAAGGTGGAGTCAATCGTGGGAGAAGGGTATTGGAAATTGGCTGAAGCAATTGGAAGGTTAGCACACACATATCAAAAGGTCGAGGAGGCGAAGCAGGAGCAGATGGTGGAGCTGGAGAAACAAAGAATGCAGTTTGCAAAGGATTTGGAGATTCAAAGAATGAAGGTCTTCATGGAGTCACAGGTCCAGCTTGAGAAGCTGAATCGTGCAAAACGTAGCCCAGAAAATAGTACGTCCTGAAGACATTCTCTTTTGATCTGGTTTTATATTAATTGAGCCTTTGCCTGTGTTAATATAAAATTATATGCTTGATTGCGTGATATGCGTGAATAGAATGGAATTGGTATTTCGGTTTGTTGTTCATGTGCTGCTGTCTTGAAAGGATGTCCTGGTCTCCAATTTTACATCAGTTTATTGACATTAACGGGTGTGGAGCAGAATTCTGCCTGCTTGTGATGTTTTAGTTGTTTATACTGATACAAAGCTTATGGAT